TGAAAATCTCCCAAATGCACCATGTTAAGTTAGAGCTCTGCAGCCAATCCACATTTATCCCCGGGTCAATCTCTTGTAATATTTAATCCTTGCATTTATTGGTGCTGCACAGCATGTTCTATTCGTGCTTTTAATAAGATCTGCAGCTTACCTTGTCACAATATCCATTGATAGTTAAGTTTTATATTCTCTACTCCGACGATTGACATGTAGAATAAAGATGTGTATCATAGTTATATATTGTGACAGAATACAACAATTGGAATATTTAGATTGTAATATGCCATTTATCAGTTATTTATAACAATAAATTGGTAATGTTGGCCTTCAACTTGTTATATTTTTCCATCATATCATACTGACATCCTTTCTGTTTTGTTTTTTTTTTCTTAGCAGAAAAAATTAACTATTACTGATTTATTCGGTTGTCAGTTGATACTAGAGAAAATCTCTCCCTGGATTAGTGGCTATTTTGATTTATGGGCAAACTACTTCTTGTATACCAGTTTTGATTATGGCTTCAATATGCTTGTTACGCAGAAGCAAATTTATACAGTAATATAACGTGCATGTGTACAATGCATGTCAGTCCGATTCCTCTTGTCGACTTTCTGTTGGGCTAATTCGTTCGCGTTCAATGTTTTTTGTAACGATGGGACAGTTATTGGTCTAAATGGATTTGTTGGGGAATTGTCGCGATATATAACCCATGTTAAGTCTGCCTCTTCAGTTATTAGCCAGTGCTAAAAAATTTAGGTACTGGAAAATTTACAATAATTCGGTAGTCAGTCATGCCTTTTAAGGTCTTTTCTGAACACATTCACGACCTGCATAGTTGACAGACCTATGATTTACAGCAAAACTTCTAAAACCATTCGGTAAAAAATACTGAATATTTTTCATTTTTAAAAATCTTATTTACCGCCATAATACCTTTACAGGTTAACTAGTATTTCATGGCGTATCTTATCGCTATAATTTCCAAAAACATAAACAAATGGTTGTGTTTATAATAAATATGCATTTTAGTGAGCTTGTAATGTTTAAACTTTTTTAAGCCAAGGTCTTATACAAGATTACCAAGGCTTTAAAACTTACAATTTAATGTATTTTAAAGGATCTTTTTATCATTATTCAAGTAGGGGAAATATGATACAAAGAGATATTTTGTATTAGATTTATTTATTATATTAAATAAAGATTTTGCGATATGAATAACGACCTGGATATAAGAGTGTATATTTGCTGCTAAATGGTTGTGTATACCTTTCGGTACGATTATCTTTTTGTTTCTTTAGAAGCAGTATAATATGTGATATATGTTTTTTGAAGTGATGTTATGATATAATTATGAATGACAGTTACTGTAGGATATTGAATTACATGATAATCTACTTATAAAAATATCCATGGACAAAAATATAATAATTACCTTTGATTTATGTGAAATATATCTGAAATTATGTCAGAGGTGAGATAATTAACTTTTAATAAGAATAGAGCACACTTATGCCTGTATTTATGGTGTCAATATTGTCATATTTTATGACTATGAATCATTGTACACTTTTATTATATCTGATTTTATCATGACAAAAAATTTGGCATTTTTTTTTAATTAGTTTGCACATTAAAGAAACTGTCATAATTTCCCTTATGATTCTTTTAGTAATATATAGTTATGTTATGAAGTGGGTTAGAATTCGTTGCATCTTGAGAGTGGGTGGCGATAGTTTATTGCTGCAAAACATGTACACCAACGGCAATTGTCCACGATACATTATTTGCTAATATAGGATGTTTGTTATAGCTATCTCTGATCGAATTAATGTCGCGTCGAATTTAAAGGTTTTTGTTCGGCATGCCATAGCGATTGTGAACGCCAAATTGAAATATAAATGCAGATGTTGGAGCTTGCTGTCGATATATTATGCACGTGGTTTTAAATGATATGTTCGACATTACACATGTCCTATCAAATTTTAAAAACTTGTTCTTGACGTCCGATTTGTGTAGACTCGAAGTTCTGAAGGCACTAAGTTCCTGCATAAAGCGATACGTTCTGAAATGTATGCCTGCGGAAAATGAATTCAAATTTACGTCTATACAGAACCACGATGGTCGAACGCAAAATAGGTAAATATGGCGTTTATACATGTCTGTATGTCTCAACCAAATTGCTTACTCTATCAAGACGATACAAATATCTATTGGAATCAGCTGTTTTCTGACTTGTGACAAAAAGATAAGCTTCCCATGGGGGCCCTTGAAAAACGATCCGGTATTTTCACTGTGTTGTTCTAAATATATTTTTTTCAAAAATTGTATTAATATAGGGAAAGTACAGATACGTGTCTTGAATATGGAGCATGTCAGAAGATGGTCGCTCTAAAATATCTGCGCTGAGATTTTTCATTGTTTTTCTGCCTTTGTTTCTCTTGTGTTATTTTGCTTCATTTCGTTCTACAAGGTTCTGGTCAATCAGAAATCAAATTTTATTTCTTTAGTAAATAGAATTCAATGCAAACTTGGCCGATTTCGCTAAACGCGTTTTAATTCCATTGTTCTACATATCCGATATCCATGATCATGATATTATCATTAAAGTTTATTTTAATAATCGATCTGTCATTATTGATTCAATTATTTAAGACAATATTTATGCTTATCATTACATATGTAAGCTCCGATAATCGTTTTAAATATTGCTGTCGAATAACAGATAAATTTTAGACAATATGGGTTTAAATTATGGTCAACATTAAACAATGCGTGTTTAAGAAACAATGCTCAAACAGTTTAAAATTAAGCTAAATTGACTTAAAGGATTTCATTGTTCTAGAAGTCTTAAGACCATATTTAACACGATACGTTAAGTGTTTTATCACTAGTTAATGTATACTTACAAAATCTATCAAGCCATTGAATGTATATGTACCTTACCTATCATAGGATTAGTGTACTAGACTAATATCTCACCCCTTCAATGTATCTCCTGCACCCCCAACGGATTTGTTTTGCTAGCGATAGGGGACTATATTGGTGTTAATCACTCTTGATGGGTATTGTACACCTCCGCATGCACTAATCAACCGGTAAGTGCAATTAACCCGTCGCGCGCAATCAGATTACAATTGTATAGTCCTTGCCCTCGTTAATAAGCCCCGATCACATTCATATGACAAAACTTTCTTTTACTGTATTATTGTTTGTAGTGTCAAAAGTTAATGGGGTGTGCTAACTGGTAGATATGCTTCTATGTGGGAAAATCCGCGATCAAATCGTTCCGTCTGAAACACCAGTCTCCGAAGTGTCAATCTTAATGAAATCTTTTTTAGTTGGTAATCCATGCCATAATTTCAATTACAAATATAAAGTATATAGTGGAAAAATGTCTAAATCAGACTGAAATACATTTCGTTCTTTTTTTTCATATAAAATATTCATGAAACCCATATCGTGAATTTTTTATAGATATTAATTATAAATGTCACCGAATGATTTATGACAATAAGATGTGATTATTTTAAGAATGTATTATATTTTGTTTTAAATTTGTTCAAGAAGCAATTGTCCCGCTGTATGGATAATAAAAAAGACAGACTAATAAAATTAATGCATGAAACTAAGCAATAATGTAGGTATACTAAAATGTTCCCTTGATTAAGATCTGTAAATAAAGCAATCGGAAATGTTGGCAATCCAAATTTTATCTTCTAGGGTAGTCTGTTTACGTTGCCTTATTACCTCCCTTTAGCCGTGGCTGGCTCGTGCTGGGGCGATGACAATACCGTTAGTAAAGAACTAGAGAGTTTGTTATTTCAATACAGAGTGTGTTTATAGAAAACATTAAACTTGAATTCGATCTGTTTTCGGAACTAATATATTTAATCGATTAGTTAATCATTATTTGATAATATTTTATGTTATCAGTCAAACGCCAATTTTCCTATTAAATATGACACGATGTTTAGACAAAAATAAGTCCTGCTACCCATAGCCTTTTTTGTTTAACTTTAAAAGATGCTAAATAATTATATATAATGTAAATATAGACACGATGAGTGCTTTAATTGAGTAATTTTTAAAGAAATTTCTAGTCATGTTAAAAAATGCATCTACATTTTTTGTAATTCTCTGAATGTCGCTCAAAATCACATCCAAACTCTTTTATAGAATACACCTCCAAAAATCATTGATTAGTATTTATATTTTGTCCAAAAAAAGTAAGAAAAAAGTATCAATTGCATTATAAAGGAGTTATAATGGTCCCCGTGATACACCACAACATCTTAGGATCATGCATGTAATTGTTTAAGTGAATGAAAATCTTATTTTATCAAGAGATTTTGAGTAAATCGGTGTGGTTTAAAGTCTACAAGTGTATGTGAGATGCAGTATTTACAAGGATCAATCGTCTCACAATTTTAACGCTAAGGAGATGTAGCAACTAATCAGTGAGATTTCTACTGTTTTTATGGTAATTTACTCGAAAATCTACCATTAATTTACGGAGTGCTGTAGAATTTCTACCATCTTAAGTTAAATAGATTTTATTTTACGTCAAAATCTCCTCTGCACTTAAAGGTTTTGTAGTGGGATTCTAACCAGTATTGTGGAGAATTCTAAACCTTGTGTATAGAATAGCTCCAAGCGAAATCTTATGTGGTTATTTAATTGTCCGAAGTGAAGGGGTGGGACCTAGAGCATAGTTTTCTTTTATACTTTTTTATGTACTAACCCCTGTCCAGCTCACGGGCTTTCCATTGGCTGACCACGGCTCTAAATGCTATCAATACTTTATCGACATGCAAAAATTGCCCGGCATCTTATCAATTTATTAAAAACAACACCCAGTTAGTACTGTCATGCAAATTATAGCCGCTATATTGGCAGTGTGAAATATAGCTCGAGCACGATTCAGCCTATCGCAGGGCAGCATGGGTAGTTTGTATATATTCGTGTAGTGTGTGACGTCACAGGCCAGTCATGCTCATATAGTGAGGTTTCGCCAGTCCGTCCCGTGTATGAGTGATTGATGCTGTGGTGATCGTGCTTTAAGCCGCCGTTAAACACTACTAGTAGTATTACCCCGAACACACTGTAGTTTGCAGTTTTCTATTTACATGCCGACAGTTCAGTGAAACGACACAACGTGTTTTTTCTCTCTCTATTTCTTGTCAATGGCAACACAAAGTATTGGACTATTTTATAACAGTAACTGTGCCGTGATTGTGTTGTGAGGTATATAACTAGCGTGGATTATTTTAGCTTCGAAATTGTACAAGCACTTGTTTGTGGCTCCTCCCATTTCGGATTCTATACCGTGCTACTGTTTAAGATATTGCTACTATCGTCCAGTTGAGCGGACTAGGGTAGCAAGAATAACTAGAGTATAAATGGACTCTCTACACGATCCTCTGTGCTTGGATGAACTTGTTTCTGGTTGTGAATCGTCTTCGCAGTCTAACATGACCATGCACCACCTTTCAGAAACTGGGTCCGCCTCGACCACAAGTGACATTCAGTTAGGAAACCCTCACAACCCTAGTCACACAACGTTACATGGTATTAGTTCGGTGGACGGGTCTTCAGAAAAATCAGGTGAGGAAAATGTAATCTCTTAAAATTACAAAATCTTTAAAATGTAAATTTTTCATTAGCGCGAAAATACCTTACTGTGCAAATTGTGTGCAAGATCAGCTGACATTTAGATGGTAAATGATGTCGATGTTAGCAGTATATTTAAATGTTATGTTTATATATTATTAAGTTTGTATGTTTGTATTGGGTAGTGGTTATGATATCGGAGATTGTCTAGTTTATTGATCTACAATAGATCACCAGATTTATCCGTTAGTAAAAGGTCAGTGGTCGATTAGGAAGAATTACTGTATGAATTTGTATCGTCAATTTGAGATATTGCTAAAGGCATAGAGAAAGTCACTTGTTCAAAGTATTGTATTGCTAGAGTTAATATTAGCATCCGTTTCAACGGTGGCCTTTGAACGATATCAATATTCGGTAGGACACGTAAAGTCACGGTGATGAAAGTTGCCTCTTCTATATCCCCCATAAAGTCCCCATAATTCGTGTCAAATCAGGGCAAGCTAGTTGGTCAGTTTTCTTGTTAAAAGAGATCAGAAGTATACTTAGCGTAAGCTTATTAATCCCGATAAATATCCTTGGACAAATCAAACAGTATTAGAAGCCAACACTGAACGGCTCAAATACTTGGACACAACCAAAATAACTATAGCCTGGGGAATGTTTGACCATTTTGGCCGAAGGGCAATAGTCGCAATGTTTTACATCTAGTATATATTTGTGGACATCGTAAAAAATCTACTTGTACCCTATATTATATTTTTACAAGTTTATGAAAATGGTAGAGCTGTACACAGACCGTGTCGTCTGCATTTTATGGTGTCCCTGACCTTCATCGCTGACAAACTGTGTTGGTGAAAATTTAAATTGTCTCTATTTTTTACGGGACGAAATGTTTTACATTCGCAATTAAGAGGAAAAGTATTTTAGCAGAGTGTACTACCATACAGTTGATTGTGATGGTATGTAACTAAACTTGTCGCCGTTGCCCCCTCATGTAAATACATGTTAACCACATTTAAAACAAACTTTAAAATAAAGGTGCAGATTTCCTTTTTTTTTAAATTTAAAACTAGTTTGTATGTAATTGCATACTTATTTTAATATTATACAACACTTAGATTATTTGGAATAAAACTGATTTAGATAGAGAGAGATGTGATTGAATTTTTGTCGCCGTACTTTTATTACTTTAATCACTTTCAAACATTAATAAAGAGGGCCGTCGAGAACTCAAACAGGATTCGACTGCCTCCTTCACCATCCCCATTCGCCCTCTCGTTGGGCCTTTATCTAAGTACTAAATTCATGAACTATTCAGAATTCGACACCTTCCAAAAATTTTCACCTTCATTGGAATTAAATTGATCAGTTTATTTGTAAAGATATTGTGAGGTTTGTTAGTAATGATAATAATTATATTGGATGTGTCGCTATAGCAATAGAAATGTAATTGACCCCCCTGGTTAATTACTGTATCTTATTGAGAGAAATTAACCTCCAGTTGTTTCCATTGACAAGATGGCCTGTTAGAACCGTGTTTAACGCGACGATAGAAAACCTCGGAATTACATTATCTCAACAATTATTTCTTCTCTAGTACCGGTAGCTTTCCTCTCAAGTATACACTTAAGATGTGAAAGATGTGGGATCTATATTGCGGAAGCTATATATTTTTAACCAATGGCCTATGGCAAAAATTTTCTTGCTTATTATAAACGAATTTATCTTCATCGAGAAACTTATGGCATTGTTACATCTATTTATACTCCCCCGTAACCCACTGCATGGCGTATATCCGCCTCCAGTATCCCGGTTGAGGCAGAAATGCAGGACAGTAAACCCCATTTTATGTCATATACTTTTATTTTTAAATACAATGATCGTCCAAAACTATGAGCAGCGTGAAATCAAATATAAAAATCTATAATATCAATTTTTAATCTATATCAATATCAACAAGAACGATATAACTTGCTTAAAAGCCGTTGGTACAATATTAAAATACTCTTGAAAGTAATTTTGATGTGTTAGTGAAAACATTTGAAATTAGAAAAAAAAAGAATTGTTCAAATATATAACCTATTAAGCTGTATTAAAATAAATTTATTTCTTCAAAGCCTTTTACTATGTCTTCGCTGTATTTTAAGAGTTAATATTGACTGTTATCTAAGAGCTCTATTAGATGAGTTTAAAGAAGTGTTGGTTGGTAAATTGAGTGGTCATTTCTTTGTTGGTCAGTCAATCTGAGGGCTGTTTAAATGGGCTTTGTGACCATATAATAACAAACGGTCAACACTCCTAACAATGAGCACAAACATCTCAAAACATATAAGCTCTAAAATCAACATAATAATATGATTTACCCTTTCATAAATTTTCATTACTTCGGAGAATATTATAAAATTTACTTTACAACTTTTTTTAAAGCTCATTTATTAATTTCAATTTTAATTATTAGTTTTCTTCAAAGATTTCTTGCCAAGAAAATTTAATTTATAAGTTATTTCTGGAAATTAAATTCTAAAATGATTTGAATTATGTAGTCTAAAAATATATTTAAATTTCAAATAAATCCATAAAAAAAAGAATTAAACTGATATCCACGGCCATACAATTCGAATTTTTACGGGATTTGTTGAATTTAAATATACATTAGTTAGATATACTCTTTGTCCGCCTTACTACTTGTATTATTTTGAGTGGGGTAAATTCTATTGAATTGTAATTTGATCAACGTAAAAATAAAAAAGAATCTATTTTTTGTTGTGTAAGGCGGACGAAATACGCGTTTACCTTTATCGTCAGAGGTATGTTTACCCACAGGGACGGGTAATTGGAGCCATATTTTAAACAGATTATGACGTGCAGAAAAACAACATTTTTGCATGGATGAAAGCTTGTCAAAATGTGGATAAACAATTTACACATAGTAATATATTATAATAACTATTTATTGTTGCTAAAATCGTGTAAGAGTGAACAAAAAAAGCCTAGGGGTTTTAGAGTGGGGTATATCCGTGGGTGAAATAACTAACTTTTTATTAGAATTTCATAGCTTTCCACTTGAAAATTTACTCCTAAATTAATTTAAAAACTTATAAGAAAAGTTAATCTTCAGGTTGAATTAGAAAAATTATTATTCCCTTCATTATTATGACTGGACATGAAAAAAAATGTCTTCTACATTTTTATTTACAGCTTTTCTGTAAAATTCTTCATATGTTTTAAAATTATTATTTTAGATTCAAATGATGGCACAAAATCCAAAGATGACTCTATATCAGAAGATGATAAAAAGAAAAAAAGACAACGTAGACAAAGAACACATTTTACTAGTCAACAATTACAAGAATTAGAAGCAACATTTGCTAGAAACCGCTACCCAGATATGGCGACACGGGAAGAAATATCCGCATGGACAAATCTCACTGAGGCGAGAGTACGGGTAAGTTTTCAATTTCTAATATTATTAATTTTCTAGTTTAAATTTGTAATACTTTGTGGTGTTTGATAAGTGGAGAGGTTTTTAATTTTCCCCCATCTCACTTTTTTTTAAAATTAAGACGCACACAAAATGTATCTGACATTAAATTGAATCAAATTTAAATTAACTCTAGAGATGATGTAAAACATAGAACACTTTTGATTTTTAACATTTTTCTGAAATAGATTTACCAAGTTCAAAAATCTTAAACATTTTCTTGATAATCAGGGACAAAATTACCAGTAACATTTAGTCGCCCGAAATAAAATGTGTGCTTCAGTGACATAGAAATATATATTTTATATTCGTAAAGATAAATAAAGTTTAAAAAGTTTTAAAATCATTTATTTTCAAACTTTGATTACTTTTCTTGGAACTTGATTGTAAAATATAAAATATAATCATTACTAAAAATTAATTTTATTACATTAATTTTGAAATTAAAACTTCGTATATGCATACATGCATGGCTCTGAGAAAATACTGGTTAATAATATTTACGTGTTAAAGGGATTGACCAACGTAGCCAAAACGATCCTCGCCAGAAGTAAAACGACATGAGGCACAACATTAATCTATTTTATTACTTATCTATATAGATAGTAGATAAATCATACACATCAAAGCTGACTGGTCAGATTAAAACTATTGCTTATTATTTATGTACTTCACAGAGTTGAACTTTCATTAATTTGTATATTGCAAGCGGATTTTTTTCTATCCATGGTGTCACTGAAACATGCTCAACCCAGTACGTGTATTTCGGGTCAATGTTATTATTATTATTTACCCACACCAAGGTCCCCGTTTAATATAATTTTCTGTTGAAATTATTAAATAAATAATCTAAAAATTACAAAACAGGTGCTCTACTTTCCGATTTTTCGAGATCAGAATAAATTCAATGCCTCATAAATTGGAATCCATAATCATGCGCTTATTTAAAATTCCAGTGTTCGTGAGTATTGATTTATGCTTTAGGCTTTGTTTTATAATAATAAAAAAAAATCTTTGAAAAACAATCGATAAACAATGCTTGAAATATGAATAAAGACGTCATACTTATATAATTGACAGGAAAGTTGTCAAATATGCATTTTTTACTACAATAAGTGTAGATAATTATATGTATATGTGTATATTATGCTTCGACCTATTACCAAATTAATGACCCTGACATTTATATGAATAAAGCACTGTTATAGCAAACATGAGATTAATTGTATATATACATATAAACACGCTATATTATATAGATTAATTAGGTAATTAAGATGTAAATGAAACAAATGAATATAATTGGCAAAGAGAATAATGTTAATGTATATTAAACAAGCAAATCGTTCATTATGCAATTGTCTTTCTGATATAATAACTGCAAATTAGCTGGTAAGTGTGCTAGAAACCCGTTGGATGCCACGAACTTGTACCCGGTTTCCTGTCAGAACGGCTTCCATTATATTTATTTTATGCTAATTAGGAAATAGGACGTGTGATATTATGAGACAATGGAATTGTCATTCTCGCCCATTTATATTCTTAATATTTTAATTGGTGGATTTTAGCAAAAACTTTCATTAACACGAAATTTGGCTAGATCTGAACAAGAAAGGAAGGAAAAATGAGTTATCCCTTCACTTAATTAAATAATAGCAAATTGTTATCTCTTTTGCAATATAGCGATGTTAATCATGAGTTGAATTATTTGTTTTATACCTTGCAAATGTACAAAATTCCATTGTGACATGCCAGGGTTGACATACATGATTGTAAGCATGAAAAACATTACCTATTCTGCGCATTTCACAGTCGCGACAAATTCCACGCTTGTACAAATGTAAGTGAAGTGAAACAAGTAAATCTGAATACTGTATATGTTCACCCGTTTTCAACTCATTTCATAGTTGACTGAGGTACATCTAACGTTCGTCTGAAACAAACAGATCCTAAACTTGTAAGTTTTGTAACGAATTGGAAACACACAGAAGGGTCGAACAGTAGTTGACCTCCCAAATTAAAGGTGTGTTCCCCTTATCTAAACATAGAACACATCTATTAGATCTTCGTTTATATGTATGTAAATGCAAATAGTTTAACAACTCGAAACGGTAGCCATTATTTTTACGTCGTGCGCAACTTACGTGTACTCATCGCGTCAATTGCGGGTCGTTAACTTAAGGGGTGGTAAATTTCGCTTTTGTTTACACCCTAAAATTACAAGAGCACGACTGGTTTGTTAAATGTGTAAAGAGAGGAAACGTGCAGTCGATTTAATGAACCGCTCCTGTTAAATATGGTTGGTTAGGTAGAAACAAGGTGTTAGCAGATCGAGTTAAGCTGATTTGAATGTGATGTAAGCCCTCGGTGACCTAAACATTCATTGTCTTCATAAATTGATAACTACTGTCAGTCATTATTCGTCTAATATGGCAGTAGATTAAGAACCGCCACCGCCAAAACGACTTTGGTGATAACAGAAACGCGTACAATGTACTCCCAAATTTGAAGATTTGAACACTGTAGCCGTGAAAAGATGGCCACAACTAAACATACATGGCCTTTTCCCGTCTGCAAATAACGCTTTAAACACGACAGACGAAAACTGACAAAACATCGGTTTTAGCTTCAAGTGATATAAATTTAAATCCGTGATGACATATTATTAGAACTGTTTAGTTATAGATTTCTAACAGAGTAACTAATATAGCTTGATTAGACTAACATTAGAATACTAGAATTAGTAATGCACAGTAATTGATTGTGACTATTGATGAATTGTTATCTAGAATAGATTTATTGATTTAATTATTGGATAGGTTCTTGTTCATCCTTGTCTTATCCATGGTTGTGATGCGGTGACCTTTGATCAGAATACAACATAAGTAAAAATGTATGATGATCTACTGGTGGTTTAGTTTTGAAATGAAATAACTTTTTGAGGAATTCATTATTGACACATCCAATGTTACTAGTCTGTTCGGATGATATTCTAAACCAAATTCACAAATTGTTTTATTTTGTTATTGCTAGAGAAATTAAGAACACGTGTATCATTTTTGTGCCAAAAATTTGTTGCGAGTTGGCGTTTATAGCGTGTTTTTCGGAAATACAACACATAGAAAGACGCCGATGGTATCAGTCGATTCAGTCATGAATGCTAAGAATAGTATCATCTTCTGTAACCAGTTGTGATTGATTTTTCACACGTAAGTGATAATGCCCTGTGAAAGACGATTACTTTGATCATGGCGCTGATCTAGCAAACACATAATACTCACTCACTGTCCTACCACACTTTTCCTACTCTACCATAATGTTATGAATGAAATTAAACTAGCGTGTGTAAATAGACTTTTTTTCCATTGCAATTTTTTTTATTTGGTTTGTTAGATTATACGAGTACGGCGCATTTATTCTATGATATGATTTTAATATCATTTATGTTATACAATGGCAGATGTATTGTGTCAACGACGGAGATCACTGTTGAAATTTGAAAGAAAGGTGCAAAAGGTCTTGTATTTATGAATAAGTGTGTATAAAATAAACATAAGTAGGTATTAAATTCGTTAATAATATGTTATAGTTAATACATAATTGACTCGTGTAAACTCTGTGGTATTTACATTTTATTAATCGAAGTCTACTAGAGCATCTTTAAGAGCTCTCAAAGGTACGCAGTAATTACTTTAGAAACAATTTCACCCATTGCTACTTATCAGTCAAGTAATAAACATAAATATGGTCATATTTATACACAGTGGTTAATCTAGGAGATAAAAATTAGACATTGAACATAAATATACATCATTATAGTGATTTACTATATAATTTGTTGTATTATTTGATTAATATGAAGGTTGTATATATATATATATGGTCATCAGTGAACCTAATATTTGATTTCTGTATGAATTTGCTTTTACTATTTACCCAATTTTAATACAATAATCTGCTGCTTATGTTATTATTACGTTAGATTTAAAGCAGTGTTAGCCATTTTAGCAACACATTATGGTCAATTTCATGGGCATCTGCAGGAAATTAACATTCTGTAAATGTTGTGGCATAGAGGAAAGGAAAATGCTTAAAAGATTTATGTTCGTTTAATGATTAAGTATTAATAGTATCTGGTGCACTGTTTCCAGTCTTTTTAAAGTTATTTTTGACGCAATATCGTATGTATGAAGTCTATGCCAATCATTGGAGGCTTCCGTGCGTAATAGTCATAACTTACACGCCGGCTTTTCCAACAATCCACAGTTTTAATCGAGATGGCGACACCTCGTCATGTTGTTAAACTCAATAATATCAGAAAAAACTAGCGAGCACTTACTGCATGCAGGAAGCTTATTTAGTATTTATGCGATCACGCGCGCCATATTCCATATTATTAACGAGCATCGTTTGTTCTGTTTTATAACTGTGTGCATTGAATGGAATACCAGAAAACGTACATACTTTACAGTCGTCGGTGTACAAAACTGAGTTTATAGACAGTTAAATAGAACATTTGATTTGACTGTTTTCTGATACATAAGAACCGCAGATTTCTGATAAATAAGAACCACAGACAGGCCTTATATTTCTAAAGCTACTATATAAACAATAGGTAAATGATAAACATTTAGTAATACGACTACAGACTAGACAGTATAAATACTTATTTCATCTCTACTTCTAGAAAGTATGTTACACTAACTAGAGAAATAGCACCTGTACTTTAAGTTTATTTGGAAGGTCACACTTATGGTTTCCACTCATAGCTTTATTTAAACTACCATTAGAAAATCTGTATGAAATCAAATAAAATGGGTAATTAACTTTATTAATTAAAATCTGAATATTGTTGTTTTACGACAAGATAAAACTATGTATATGCAGGTCGTACGACAAGGGGCGCTACTATGTCATTGTATGTTCTAACATTGTTCCTGGTACAACTAAGTTACCCTTTAACATTAGTGATCAACATAAGTATGTCACGAGGAGTTGTCATCCTGTATATGATATTATATACTGTCACTGCCTTTCTCCTAATTATTATTACATCATCAGAGATATACCAGATTCTTTGTTATTGTTTATTTACTGCAATTATCGTTAGTGTCATTCATTTTTAAAGTAGTATTCATTCTCCATTTAAAAGGCAATTTGACATTTTTGTTAAACGATTTGTTCAAAAGAGACAGTACACAATTATATGGAATATAATTACTGCTTACTACTGGGCGACGTTTCGAATATGCTTCTCTGGTCTTTATCAAGCAATGTTAAAATATAAAATTTGACTGGATATTATGTAAAAACAATTCTTAGTTACCGATGACCAATCAAGGACATACCACTCATTACCTCGAAGGAGACATAATTTAATTAATGCGGGAAAATGATAAAGTTTAATTGGTGTAATGCAAATAATAACATCCAATATAATACAGGTCACTTTTGCCTGAATTCATGTAATAATATATTCAGCTGTTGTTTCTTCACTAGTTTCCGCTTCTAAAAAAAGCGTATGATACACGGTTTCAACTACCTTGATGTGATTTCAATCTCTGATTACAGCATTCGAAATTCCTGTATAACAGGGTAATTGGATAGAATAATAGAACGATTAACCGTTATTGTACTAATCGATATTAATTGTTCAACAAATAAACCTTGAAATATGATCATCTAGATTATTTTTCTATGGTTGAGTATTGGAGCTCTTTATCTACTTATTATCAAGCCAAACAAAAAAATGCATGAAGAAGGAAATGGGTTTAACACCGTATTTCTCTATTCCAATCGGGCTAATGAAGGCGGGAAAAACAAAGGACTCTTTGGGAAATGAGTTAGGTAAAATACTTAGGCTGTAATACTTTTTTTTAAAGAATTTTGAAAACTTTTGTCCCGTCTTGTGGGGTCGACAATGTGGGCTAATATTCAGTATAATATGTATGTTATTTCATTAGGTACCGACGGGTGAACAGTTTCAATACAGTTAAACTATGAAAATGTTTATTTTAAAACTCTAATGTTTATAGAGATTTCTTTGCTGTCAATATTAGGAGTACTTTCAATGTTTATATATCTGACTTAACATTTTCACTTGATATAAGTAGGCGGATGACTGACAGCACACTATGCACATAAACTATTCTCACAATACTGTTTAGAGAGGAGTGTTGGGAAACATTACATTAAAAAATCAAATCTCTACAATAAACCCATTGCAATTTGGCGAATAGAGCGATTATTTACGGACTCCATTGTTTATAATCTGTGTTAATCTAATCTGCTCATAAGTCGAAATCTCAGTCATGTTCATCTGGATTAAAACATCCTCGTTGTTCATGTTATCGATGTGTCTTTCGTTCTATGGTCAGTGGTATGACCATGTCAAGAAAACCTTGTGCAATATTTATGTTCAAATCATATCAATAATTAATAAACATACACTCTCGGGTGTCACTCGACTATAATTAATAAAATAACTTAGTCGTTTTAGTGTTTTATTCATACGACTAGAGAGTATCATGCTACAATTCTCTATGGTAAACAATACTCAATTAAACGAGCGAGATGATTTATATTTTGACGTATCTGTGTTTATTTTTGCTCACTGCTAGCAACAACGCGCGCTGCAAGATTGATTAAATACTTTGATAATTTGAAAATATTGTCGGTAGCGATGGAATTGCGTAGACAGACTGTTCGAGTGGATGAGATAAAACCAGAACTCGATATGCACAAAGGAGATGGTTGCCCATGTATATAAATAACCAAATCCGACCTTCTCACGTCAAAAAAACATGTCTAACATTTGCATCGTGCAAACTATTTATGATTAAGAATGCATAATTAATTGATGCAAGATAAGATGAGCATTGACGCTGAAAATTCTGTTAAGCTAATAATTTTAGTACCAGATTTTATGAATAAATTAAAGATAGTGGCAATTAAATCGTTCTAAAAAATTAAAACGGTATACAGCATAGTAATTAAGACTCTGCACTTCATTTGTAGACAGTAATTGCAATGCAATATAACACAAGAAGCTGTCACTCATAATACAACAATACTGTCCTTTACGTTAAAAGTATCTTGGAATCTATATCAGTCATGTCATTATTTATTTATTTTCTCCACACACCAAGTTGGTGTAGTAAACACGTTTATAGTATATAGAAAAATATAATTATTGATCGAGGCTTACGTTAAGACATATTTATAACGCTTGAATAAAAATTGCTAGTTCCGCCATCTTGCCCCTTTTCTTCTTACCTCTCCACGCCACCTAGTGCTGTAACCGATCCACATGAAACCTGTAATCTAGAGTTAACCTAACCTGTTACTATCAGTACTTGGTAATTAGTGCGATAAATATCATTGTCTAAGTTACAATAATTATTAACTGATCTGACATAGAAATCACTCAGGTTTAAACGTATTTTGTAAACCATATGCTTAGTTTATTCCCATTCAAATGAATCGGCAATTGTGCAGAAGTCATAAGCAGGGAACTGCAACTAAGGGGAGGCAATCGAATAGTATTGTTTTTGGTTACGCTTATGTATAACCGTGACGTTAAATGATTAAAGATTTAAATCTCAAATTTGTGCATGCAATTTATGCATTTCTAAGATTTCTACTTTTATTGTCTTTTCAGGTATGGTTCAAAAATCGACGAGCCAAGTGGAGGAAGCGAGAAAGAAATATTGAACCGTTTAAGAATGGCTTTGGATCACAGTTTACAGGCTTCATGCAACCACCATTTGATGATGGTCTTTACACGGGTTACTCCTACAATAACTGGGCAGCCAAGGTTCCCAGTCCTTTGGGCACGAAATCCTTTCCTTGGGGACTCAACATGAACTCTCAAATGAACCCTCATCTATCATCAGTTGTATCCACACAGCCGCTGGGCTTTTCGTCTTCCCCGAGTAATATTTCCAGTATAAACTCCATGGTTGGTAGTGTTCCCAATATATCTTCAAATATGAACTCACCTACACCTCCATGTCCTTACGCTCCTCCAGCACCTCCATATATTTACAACCGTGATCAGTGTTCCAACAGTATCGCCGCCTTACGGCTCAAGGCTAAACAGTACGCCCATTATCCATCAGTTAGTCCCCGACAACCAACTCTATCAGCTTGTCAGTATGCTACAGTCAACGGTGGTCCAGTTTGATCAAATACACCAGCATTAAATCAGGTCTTTAAGTATTGGAATGGCAAGATGGAAGGACAGAAAGAGTACATGATAGACGGATGAATAGATAGAGTGTTGGAACATCATAGACAACTGAATCAAACATTACGGACTTATAATTAACTCTTCCATTCGGTGTGGAATTCTAGAGAACGTATTTCATTGATAACTGCCAAAAATATTCTTCATGGTATGTGCTAAAATCAACGAACTGCGATCAAAACTACGCAAAACGGGAATTGTACATAAATTATGATGTACATGTTTTCATTGTGAATTTGATTAAATACCATTGATGTCCGTTCTTGCCCAGGTTATTTGAGCAAATCTGTTGTGGTGTTTTTTATTATATATTATCATTATTATTATTTTATTGTAAGAAAAGACAGCTTTTGATCTAAGATGGTGAGTGTTCACTGTTTAAGTTGATATCAGTATCAGGTATGCGAACTTATCGTAGAGTATAAGAGATATGATGACATCTCAAGCCAATGTCCATTGATTGGTCCATGCTGGACATTATCTGGCCAACGGTAGATAGGAAAGTGACCTTTCGGGAAGAGATGAGTTCTCTCGATATGGAGGCCAATAGTAAATATCATCGGGGTCTTATCGAAATAATACTGGAAACCCATCCGCCGGAGGGATGTGGCGAAAACGATTGGGTAGCGCAGCTGTCGGCTTAAACACTCATTATAAACTATAGTGAAACCTTCCTTATCAGATGAGCACCTTTTGTTTTAGTATCAATTCGTACTGTGTACTTTAAATTGATATATTAATTGTCAACTGTGTATACTGTACCTGTACATCGATTTGCATGAAGTGTTCAAAAGTTTTACCAACAAAAAAAATTAATGTGATTTCTCAATAATTTTCCATATATATTTTTCTGTTTACTAATATGCTTTATTTCTTTGTTTTAATTTCTTGTTTGAACAGACTTTAAATGTTACATAACCAAAGCCAAAATTTAAAACCAATTTCTCTTTAAAATGTGAACATTTGGTTATGTGGATAATTTGTACTCATTTTTTATTGAATATGAAATTTATGTATAATAATAAATTATTTAAATTTTCTTCTATCAAAGAAACAGTGGTTTATGTTAGTGTACCAAAGTTTAGATAGATGTGATTATGATAATTAAAGTGTTAAAATCATAAAAGTTTTAAACATATCAAGAAATAAAAATGATTTTATTATATGATATTATGAGGTTTCTTAAAATTAAGAAAACACAGTGCTATTGAGTCATATTTATATAATCTCAATATAGAAGAAGTGCGAGAATATATTGTGTTAATTGACGTTTTTGAGATGGCTAAATTGTACAGTAAAAAATATAGAGTATAAAAGATAATAATATTAATGGTAATGACTTTAGTAGATAATTGTTTCTTAGAGAAATATGTTAATAAATTATGGTAAATATTCAAACAGTGTGTTGTTTTGTCTGTATTTGATTTTATAGCGTATTGTTATGACTAGTCTACTCAATGATATATTTATAAAACTGTCTAGATGGGGCGATGGTTGATCCCATGACCATACCTAGTGTTTGTAGTGACCTATTGATCACTCGACTAGAAAGAAATATATGTGTTTAGAACTTATGTATGATAATAATTGTTGACAATGCAAAGAAATCCAACTATATGGTGTTTTCAACCTCAAGCAATAAACAGTGTATGGATGGGAGAAGTTGGATTGGGTTATATTACCTGCAAACTAGGTCATTTCGAGACTAAGATATGGTTCAATTTTATTTCATTAATTCGCTTGCACGTAGGGGTCTTTAGCAGTGGGAGGAAACCGGAGGACCAGGAGAAAACCCACGAGGTTGGACAGACGACCCTACTCCTTGACTCAATTACAGACCTTATGATGCAACGCTTACGCGTTAACCATTCGACCCCCACCCCACTCCCCCCTCCCACTCCCATTACATGTTAAAAATGTGGAAATGAAAATATATTTAATACTGACACACGACAAACAGTCTTCTTTATGCTGAAATGGCAGACATTGCTCTTCTTTAGTGAAAAACAAACAATATCGGGTAATTTTGTCAAGTCGTCGTATAATTCGGTATATTAGTGGGTTTGGTCTGATTTATTTGTTTTATTCAGAACGTTAGCCATTCTGGATTTACCTAGCACCCTAAAATTTTTCTTCGCGTTTTCAAATTCGAATTAATTATCAAGTATTCATCCCTTGTATGCTATGGCACTGTTGATCTCACCCAATCAAAATCTCTGATATGTTGTTAGAAAGAAAACATCCAACCATCTTTAATGCACTCAAGGATAATTACGATGTTCCTCCAGCTACAAAACTACAACGAAAAGTAATATCTATGGGAACTTTCCGTTCTACTACGTCACCGACTATGGATGGTAAGGGAAAGATAATTCTTTAAGCGTTTTAATTAAAAAAATTTTAATTCAATGCTTTTATTTATTTTGATAGAGCACGGAATGCTTAACTGTGGTTAACAGGCGGTTTTGTATCTAAAACTGGCGAAAATACTCTACTTCCGGTACAAAGGATATATATTTGTAGCTAGCAAATGGGCCACTTTCGATTATCATCAAATGTTTGCACCTCCTTTTTACTACCGATGTCATGTTCAACTTCATTGTGGCTGATAATTAAAAAAATTGAACCAAAATGACTTCGAGTGTGGGGATAAAAATATTAAGAATAAATGAATTACAATAGGGCTAAGACAGACATACTTAGCCCGGACAACAGCGTTTCTGTCTACTCTTAGCTTTTCATTCCATCCCAAAGACTAGGCACGATTTATTGCTAAGCTCTACGTCCTGCACCACTGACAAGGAAAATCACCCAAGAATAAATAACAACTCAAGCACTTGAAGAAGACATTTTTATGCCAAATAGCAGTAAAATATTTATAAATTGTTGACATTCTATAAACACAGCTAATTAATTAATCAATATACTACAATACTGCATTGGAACTCGGTGATACAAATTGCTGTAATCGAGGTGATGTATGCCGAAATACTACTTAAAGGTACATTTCTTGGACAGTTGAGATCCAAAATTCATAACGATCACTTCCATAACATACTTATACTACCGAGTGAAATATATTTTGTTACCAAAACATATAGTATCGTTCGCAATACCTCAAAGAAAAGCATTCTTTTTGACAATCCACAAATTTAAACGTAATACACTTTCAAGACGATAAATGAATGGGAATTGGTATGATATCAACGGAAGTTTCAGTTGTTAACACCATTTAATATTAACTTAATTTATTGTTGGCTTGTGAAGAAATTTGATTCTATTACTTTATATTTCGTGGTCATTGCAAATGAGATTTTTCCAGACACATGGCCTCGAAATCTTGACCTAATTATGATCAGGGGAACATTTCTCTAAGATGGAAGGCCGCGCCTTATACCCGGATTTAGATCAGGTGTACGGGTCTCAAATTGACGAGGCTGAATATTCCAACTATGTACAGGAATAATTTCAGTATCTGTCCCAGTAGAGAGTATTGTAATACAAAGGTACAACTGGTGTACACGTAAAAGAACCATTGACGGGTGGAATTCAATGAACAGACGGCAAAATTTCATTTCATTTCTTACTGAACAAACACAAGCCCCTTACAATATTAAGTAGTATAAAATGACACTACCGTATTAGGTACGGAACAGAAAAAAACCTAACCACTTGTTTTACGACCAGGAAAAAATCAATTTCTTTGTAAACGGTTGTCATTGCCAGCCAGTTTGTTCTTTAGTCGTCAATGACCGATTTACTTGGTATCATTAAGTCACCGTGTACTCCTTCACAATCACAACACCGAGGTTATGACATCAATTAATAATCTATTTGAATAATGTTAATTTTATCAGTGAAATTTCTGCAGGCATATTGCTATCAGCACCGTAATATAATGAATGCCAAATCCACATGTGACTTCTCATACACTGGGGTTCCTAGAAACCGTAAAATAACAAGAAACCGAGGTACGGGATTAACATTAGGTCGACAAATTTCTAATTACATTTATTCAATCAATATTTTCGTCTTTTACTGAACGTTTTTTATCATATAAAGTATCGTTTGACCGTAACACAAACAGTTTTGCATGGAGATAACTCAAAACCTTAGTTGCACACTCTATTAATAAATAACGCGTTTCTATGCATAATTGCCATTAATTTCCCAACTTAGGAAATGCTTTCTAATAATACTTAAGATTCAGTGTACATTGTGGCATATGTACACAGTGTATTCATATAAAAAAAAACACCATGAATATTCTATAAATTTTTGAGTGTACATATATGATTGAATTTTGGTATTGACAAATGAACGCTGATTTGAGCACTGATTTAACTGTTTTAAATTTTGCTTTTAAAACGCCAGATTTGAGAGAAACAGAAACATTTCTGTATATTATACCTATTTTGACATAGCTTTAAATAGATTTGTTCAAGGTAGGTAAATATGACACGTGTAAAACAGACTAAATTTATTGTAACAATACAAAAATATATTACCTATGTGAATATCTTAGATAAATTAGAAATTTCATCAAATAGTCTTGAAAGACTATTTTAAATGGTCTTGGAATCTGTACACATAGATGCTTTATTCGTCGTACTAATTTGGGGCAAGAATCGAGGCTTTCTCGGTTGTACGTGACACGGAGTAGGGTCGCCTGTCCAACCTCGTGGGTTTTCCCCGGGTCCTCCGATTTCCTTCCACTGCTAAAGACCCCTACGCGCAAGCGAATGATTGAAATAAAATTGGACCATGTGTTAGTCCCGAAATGACCTGGTTTGTGTCGAGTGGACGTTAAACCCCATCTCTCTCTCTCTCTCTCTCTCTCTCTCTCTCTCTCGAGGCTTTCCCTGGTCTATGAGGGTAAAATCGAGAATGAGCATTGTGGTGCACTATAATATCCATGTAACCCGGATTGTTTTTGGTCAGTGCCTTTATAAGTTATGAATACTCACAACTCTATCTGTTAATGATGATGACCATTATTTTGTAACGTAGACATTTATTTAGGAATCGTATTACCTCGTAAAGAAGAACATCATCAGTACTGCATTTGTTACTTAACTTTGTTATACTGTCACTATTGATGTGCGTTCACCGAGGAACAAGCAGTGGCACAATGGCACAGGAATCCAAATGATGAATGAACTATAGCGCCTGTTTATGTGAATAAGATAATATTGTGTTCACACTGCGATATTGCCCTAACATATTAAACTGACAATATCTATGTTCACATACCACAAGGCAATTATTTCCTTATTTTAGGATCCACAGAATTTCCTTATTTTAGTATCCATAGGACATCCGTGAACAAGTTGATTTAGATTGGCCCCTGTCTTCACTCGCCACTGATGTGTTTAGTCTGGAAAAAACAAATTTTAAAAATCATTATACAAGGAAATGTCATTGTATTTAGGACGTTTCGTTTTATTTTCATATGGTGTACTACACATTAACATCTAACATCTGATAACGTGAGCTTGTTGACCAATCAAATAGTCTGTATTAGTATGCAGGGCTTTGTTCTGTGGTGAATCATGAGAATTTTAAAAGCAAAATCTATAGGACGGGATCTTGTGGGTTTGGGTTATCATTGGTTGACATTTCCAGAACAAATTTGTGACTGTAAGTACATATGGGTTAAATTACAATTTCAAAAACAAAGCCGAAACAAAACTGTTATTTACTTTCAATTATATTCGTTGGAATTTAGACAAATCAGGATGAGACAGCGGAAGTAAATTGTAATTTTAACTTGTGTCCGTTTTTGTGGGTTTTGTTTGGACGAACAAATGCGACACGTGTTGTTGATGTGGGTATAGAAATAAAAAAAATAATAAGCAACACAACTGTTAGCTACGTGTACTTCCAAAATCAACGAAGAATAAGCTTACGCTGCCTTGTGAACATGGTTGCTTGCTGGTTGTTTTTTAAAGTCCGCTTCCACAATAAGTACCAAGACACCCATCAGTACTTATTGTTAAATGGAACGTTATCTTGGAAACCGTAGCTGTTCGTTAAAAAGTATTGTGTTAAAAATCCAAAATACATGAAATAATATTAAAGAAACATCAGAGCTCCAGAGATCAATGATGTATGCAGGATTTCCAAAAGTATGGTGCCGCGGGAAGAGGGGTGGGGCGATTATACAAAGAGTAATGCAGTGTAAAAACCTGTAGAAAAAAAGTAACGTGAACTTTAGATGTCCATAACCTACCAGAGCAATGGTCGATTAAATCATTTGTGGACCAATATGACTTTATGTATGACTACTTTTGATTATGTATACGGTCTGAAGTTTATATTTGTTTTTTAGATTTGTAAACACACAGCCTCGTGCACGACAACGGTTAATAATAGCTAAATTGAACTCGGCAATTGAACGAGAAGTTGTGTCAGCATGATAGGTGTTCTATAAAATATATCAGAAAATAATAAGTGTATTGTAATTTCTATGAATGATTTTCATTGAAATAAGGATGCTGGGGTGTATTGGATAAAAAATTAAAAATTATATTTGCGAGATGTTTTACTAACACGCGCTTAAAGGTAACATATTGTATCAAAGTCATTAATTGTGTTTTATGGTTTAAGTTTTTGCGCTTGCCCTTCTTGTAACAGAGGTATAAATTAGAAAAGATTGCAATAATAAATGTGTTGGCCCTTCAATTCAGTATTTGATAAAGAAGGACTATTGAACTATATCGATCTTACCCAATGGTTATTGAGTGCATATTACATCTATAATGCCTAATCACTGACACCAATCCACCTTTATTGTGAACAGCGAAATTGGAAGAAAAAATAGGGAATCATTTAAATATTTTTGTTTATACAATATCTGAGGGGTCCGTTTTAAAAGTGGACGAGGGTGTAGAAGCAACCATGACACAGTTTTATATCATGTAAGATAGGGTTTAGCCATAAACAGTTAAATTTTTTAAAATTCACTGCAGTTTTCGGGTTTTAATTAGTACCAGCAATCGTTGTATTGTTTGTTTTCTGTTGAATACGCGGTAATTTTAGTTAAAGTAGCAGATGTTGGCTCTAGAGATTAACAAATTATGGGGATTACTTACCAATTTCTCAAATTTCACAAATGCCCGAATGCAAATTTTATTTTGAAAATTTGGTAAAAGCCAGATCCTGCGGCGATTCTCAACAGAATTTTACCAGTCATTATCAATAAAAATTCAATTTCACAAGATTTGACAACATGTTGACAATTTTAATCCCAAGACTTGAAATGTGCAACTAGATACTTGGTGAACAGTATGGTTCCGGAAACACACTAAGATACCAATATAGATAAGATCGCGGCGAGGGTTGATTTTTCAATATGATCTTTTCGCAGTTCGTTGGCTGTGCAAACATCATGAAATCCAACCCAAAGTTGTTTCACCAACATATATAAGCAAAGAAAGGCTTAGTGGTTTGCCATTTTTTCACCATTGATGCGATTGTGTTTTAGATCTTGGGGATTAGTTTATATTAAAGTAATAAGAATGCGATTTACTTTCACAACCACGTGATCCTTGCTTTGACTTGTTGCTATCCAATGAAATCCGTAGTTAATAAGTCTATTGGCATGTGTCAGGAATAATTAGAGCCCCACTGTTTCAATAGTTGAAATAAGATAGAAAATGCTTACAATATAGAATTACGCCGGAGTTCCGAAAGAGGCTCGTTTCCTTTACAACCGTCTTGTTAACAAAACACAGGGAAAATCTAGAATTTGTTTTTCTTGTCAAAATTATACTAAGTGGCTTCCTGATGTTTGGTGTACTTACTGCTCTCACGAGAAATAAGTATAAACAGAAACCCTCGTGGTGTTATTACTCAAGGATTTGGGATAGTAAAATTAAACTAGTTTGTTTCTTTTTCATTTGCAAATAAGATTAAATGAATTGGTTGGATAGGGGAACCTTGGTGAACCACTTCAGTAACCGAACTAGAATGGTGACTGGAACTAGAATTGCTCCGTAAATTGAATACTACATGAAATAAAGGTTACAGTCAGTATTGAAATAAAGGAACCAATATGTACAATGGGAGTTGAAAAAAGCAACCAATATTATTTGAAATGGGAACACGATGGCATTTAGCCAGCAACGATGACTTTCAACAGAATCCCATAAAGTTTTATTTCCTATTCAAATCCCGTCTTGCGCCGGTGATCATATTTTAGCATAAAAAGGCAACCGTGGTCTCTTTGAATGAGACAAGTTTATAATAGTGACTAGGATTTTGGTAACTAACTTTTAACCTCAAAGGCCCACCTCGCAATAAATATTTTCTTTATTAGACAATGCGTTGACTCTTATTTCTAAATAAAAATATTATAAAAAGAACAACTTAAATGAAAACCAGCTTCATGTAACATTCTACATGTAGCTGTTGAAATGAAGATAATGTTTCGGGCACACCTAACAGTGTGAAATAGCAGACGAAACCAGAAGAGTGATGGATATGTAGGGTAAATATCTCATGTGTAAAAATACTTTTCGTATGTAATGATATTGAAGAATTATTAGATGATAATATTACATTAACTCGGCAAGCGACTTGCAGTGTATTTGGAAACGAATTATTAAGTGGTTAGTGTCTGGATGACCGAAAAGGGCTATTATGGCCAATGGCGATAATGTGCTCATCACTTGATGACGTAACATGAGTCCAGTTTTGCAATCAGCATGTCTGGCCTCTGTCTGGTTCGGCCTTGACAAATAAATCCATACCACACCTCTAGTGATCGCTGATGGACAGGTCAAGTAAGTCATGTTTTAAATCGCATATTTCAGGTCAAGTTAAAATCTATCAAAAACAATGACATAACGTGATAAATTGAAGATTTGATTGATTGAGTGATTGATAGTTGATGTATATTGGTTGATTTTCTTATAATGTTGTGATATGAGAAAGAGGTTTTGTTCTTATTTGACCTGCATTTATATTGTACTGATTTGTTTTCCGAATAATGGCGGCAATACTTGTTTCAAACCAGATTATTCAATCTAGTTTCTTGATTAATAATTATGAGTAGTCCCATCTAGACTAGACTTTCAATTATCCTATTCTTTAAAGGGTTTGATATTTCAAATCTATGTTAAAATATTTAATTCGACTTGTCATCTTTCATTAACAATCCTCGGATGAGATCTGCTACCATTTTTATTTCAACACTCTAATATAAGGCTTCAGAAAATTAAAATATTTACCGCTTTACATAAATTTTAAGATTGTTGCTTTGGCATTTTTTTTCACATTAAATACATAGACATCTAATTTTAAAAAGTTTTGTCACCTTGATATATTAATCTAGCCTGGAAATATGTCTTCGTTTTTTTTATTATTGTTTTATTTCTATGAGTCATGTGTGTAAAATAACTTCGACATATTTGTTTACGTTTGTAGTTTTTCAAATGAAGCGTAGCGAAACATTTTCTTTATTTTGTTCAGCAGTGGCCTGACTGTCTGTCTTTCATTCATAACATGTGACTTCCTGTAAAACTTGTACACAGGGCTCTGTTATCCATTTCTATAGTAAATAATTTTAACAGTTAGGTTAAAAATCTGATATACTTTGTGAAGCAAAGGAAGTATCTTGACGGAATCTTTTATATCATTGTAAGTTTAGGGACGAGTAGACGACAGAGTAGGGGGTGTTCAGTTGTTACACAGCTCACCAACACCTTTCCATCCCAACTGTCGCCAAATTTCGTCTCTGCATATATTTATGTATGATTATCTCGAACTTATGTTACAAAAGCCTCTCGAATCCCACACAAAATCTAGTTTCCTAACACTCAATTTAATCTCGTATCTCCACTTGGATAAAATGATTATATTAAGAGCGATAACTTTACTAGTTTCTGTTGAACAATACATTGCTATTTATAAATGTAATTATTACTCGTTTTATAAGAATTAGAGATTGACAATGTTTAAATCTGTTGGAGCAATGTTCTAGCAATCTGTATTATTTTATCGGTAGTGCTTGGTATATTAAGTTTACTGTTTATTTGTACAAGTCGTATAACTTATCTCTACCTATATACAGCGTTTGTTTTGTGTATTTTAACCGGCTAATCATTGCAGACGGTCTAATTGCGATTAGTGAGGCTGGGAAGTTTAGGATCTGTTAGGAGATCACCCTAAGGGGCCCTTACATACTTTCTCTCTCTCACCTCGTAACAATGAAGCAATGAATTTAATTGAATGGTCATATTGTTGTGGTGTTTTTTTGTTCAGCCTTCCCCACTGGGGCCGTTGATATTTTGTACATCTCTGGATAAATAAAAGTAACCAATGTAAAACATAAAGTCATTACAATACAACGGTCATCAATAACGAGTTACAGAAAAAATATTTACTAATGCTTGTGGACTTTACAAACAAAATAAAGCTAATAAGTGGTAGTTTGATATCGTGCGTGCAAAAGTTTCTCTGTTCGACAGGACCGTGGTTGAATCAGCCGCTTTCAGTTAATCCCCTCACGGCGGCCATCTTGAAGAGTGGCTTACAGAACGAGTCGGCACGGAAAAGTATTTGTGAGAAAAATCTCGACTGATAACACGGTTTTTGTAGCTCTAACTTCCAAGATGCACCAACTTGATGGTAAAAGGGTGTTTAAAACGATTTTCATGGTATCTACCCGTCAAACGAATCCCACAGCACGTAAAATGCACCTGTTTCTTGGCCACCACTCGGTGTAAATAGTAAGTAAATATGCATTTCTTTACAACTACCATTCCTTGTATATCTACTAATTGCATTCTGTAATTTAACGCTATCTTCGTTCATTCTAACATTTCTTAACATTTTGGTATTATTTTCGAGTGATTTGTTCCAGTAACTGTGATTAATTCGTTGAATAAGATTTCCTTTGTTTGTTCACAGTTTTCAAATTTGTCCATTTAATTCTATTGGTGCTCCGTATATTGACTGCCGTTTAAGATACTTATTTTTCACTGTAATGTCGAGAAACCCGCCCCCTTTGTCAATTTTCTTACGATAAAGATCTACCACCACGAAGAGGAGAAATCGCAAATAAAGATATAAATTCATTATGTTGGCGGAGTTTGTGTGAGTTGTCACTCTGACCTACCTGCTCGGACAGCATGGCAAATTATTCATGATTTAATAATCATATATACAAGGAGTACATAGTTAAATGATTATATTAGTATAGAAATTATTTGATATATGACAGTATAAAGACAGCAGATAAGATAATGATGTTTAACATTTAATAAGTGATATAACTTTATTTTAACCCCCATCACTTCACACATGGCCGCCATTTTTCTATTCGCCACCCACCATTTTTATATTCCGCGTGCTGATCGATATGAACGAAATATTCAACAAATTGGCAATTTTCTGAAATTGTCACCCGAAATGTTGTTTTTTGTGTTCGACTGTTTCATAATTGTTTGTAAAAAGTCAGATATTTATCTTTCAAATGATGGAAAGTTCACTAGTCAATTGTTGTTTACATGCAACAATTCGCGGAGGCACAAGACGCCATTTTGTGAGAATTTCACTTGCTCAATTAATGGCATAATTGAAACCTATTCATATTCAAACCAGATCATTTAAATAAGGGGATACATTTCATTTGTTATTTAATTAATTAGAATAAATTTAATTGTAGTTTTTCCAATATTTCGTTAGAAGTATTTAGAGGTATTTCACACATCTTTGTGACTAAATCATTGAGTGAGAAAAGTTGTAAGCCAAGTTCTCATGAAATATTAACGATATGCCGATTTAAAACTTTACTTAACTATAGTACTATCAACAGTAGTATTAGTAGCGCTAAATTTTACACCAGAGCCCCACAGCGCCATTCTAATTGCAATTAGGTTGTCTACTCTAACTGCTCAGTCAATAGTGAACACTTAGGCCACTAAATAGGTTAAGAAATGCTCAAGAAGAGATTTTCTGACCCTGCTTCTAGTACAAATACTAACGAGTTTAGATGTAGGAGGAAATATTCGCCTCATTGAACAAATCGAATTCTTATTTTCACTTTAGTGCAGAGGTTATGGAGCAATAATGTGTATAGTTAACCCATTTCTTTACAATAATGGTATTTTTTATCTACACATTCTCTCCATTTTCTATCATAAAATCCTAATTGATAAATATAAAAATCATTATTTTATTTCAAACTAATGTAAGGGTTTTTTTGGCTCTCGAATTTTGTGTGTGTGTGTGGGGGGGGGGGGTAATACGTAATTTATTAGCGTTTGTTTTGGAAATAGTTACTTTATAATATTTTGAGGACTTTTATGATAAAAAGACGATTTAACAGAGTGGTGTAATAAAGGATAAGTGGCCTACAAGATGTTTTTAATAATCTGTATATGACTCCCTAGGTGGCTATATTATATTGGTTTTATCACTATAAGTAATCAACTTTATATACCTAACACAATAACTGTTCATTTCAAGCCTCTTTGGTGTTGTAAATTTCATATGTCAGTTACATATACATGTCATAAATAGCACCGTCTGAATATAAATAATATTATTTGCTTGAGCGAATAATCCTATATTTAGACATTATTAGTTAACATTTATGTAACCTTGAATACAGAAAAAAATACCAAATATGCCATTAAAAAGTAATATTTTGTCTGCTGTTTATTTATTAGAATAATATTAGCAGCATTAGTTCATTTTTTTATTGATCATTCATTCAAACATTTTATTCTTTGATGTTATTTGAAGATTTTACAATTAACCAACAATCGTAAACACGCACATTCAAATTTATCAAACAAAAGAGCGATATGCTTGTCAACTTTTTAATAGGTAGATCATGGTCTAATTTTAGTATCAAAAGAAACGTTATGTATTGCTCAGTACAAAAGCAACATGGGCTTATTATACCTGGCACACGTTTTAAAATGATAATAAACCAACTTGAAGAAAGGTAGAAATAATATATAACTTACCTGAGACAAGCGCTAGACAGTTTGTATGAAGCCTTCTTACACTTAAATCTTATTAACCTTAAAATACCACATGATCTACTTTTTGTTATTTTTTTTGCTGCAATAAATGTATTGTGTCAATTTCACAATGAATATACATATTATATACAAATATATAACGGAAACTATTAGCTGTGTGAAGTTCCCAAATAAAACATAAGCTTTCCATACACAACTTAAATTGATTTTTATATTTTGTTTTTAAACAAAAGATCTTGATAAAATGATTTCTTGATTTGTGTGGATAGATCTGAATTAGCCGGATATATCCATGGTATATCCATATTCAAATATATACTCATAAATTCACATATTTATTTCTCAGAAAAATGTCTAAAATAACTGTCCCTTTTACTTTGTATTTTGTCGGGATATAATAAAAATATGTGCTGTTGTATTTTAACTAAAATTATGATAGGATACTACGGTCTGTGTTAGATAAACAAGCAGAGTGGACATTTCCCTCACAGCAAGTACCATTGAAGTAATGTACAAACTACTTGGTAACTTGTACCTAATACTTCTTTCACTAATCAAAAATCTATTCTTATTATTGAAATATTGGTGAAGGCTTTGGTTCTTCTCGCTGTAGTAAAATACCATTATTCGACATTAAACGACTATAAAATAATTAGTGTTGTTTATATAACTGGGTCAATTGCATTTGAGTCCAGGAGGGGCATATGTGACCGGGATACGAAACTAACGAAATCTCAAATGGTGAAATGATTCACATTAGTGCGTGCTAAACAATATTCTATGACAATGACTCGTTCATTGAGCTAGTAGAAAGTACACTAGTATACGCCATTCTTTTGTACACAGGGAATTGAAATGTATCGAGTATATCTGCTTTCACCCCTAGGTACCATTCAGATTAAGGATAAACAATTAATTATGTGTTGGGAATTCACAAGTACTTCCAATCCGTTTGAGGGGTTTAACTCGGATTAACACGAGTCTAACAACTGGCGTATAATACGCCTTTACGTAATTGTATACAAGATGATATTAGGTGCAAAACGTGTCGAGGCCAACAAATGAGTGATCACTCCTCACTTTTTTTTATATATTTGTTTACATTTTTTTGTAAAACTCTTGTTATGTTTACTGAATGTTTTTACTTGTTCTCATTTGTACTCGAAAAGTTTTTGAATTAAAGAAACCAATTTCATTTCTATGGATCAACTTGAATAGGTAGAAAATAGAAGTTTATAAATATGTATTTAGCATAGTGTATAAGGAATAATTTTAAAGCTGGCATTCTACAGGTGTTAATCTGCTTAGTTCTGTAAACATATGGCCCCTACCAGGCATCTACTTTTAAACTTCTGCCAGTTATCAACTGTACTTGATCTTTCTTTTTATAAAACAATCATACTATAACACAATACAAATACAACAGCACCATATATTATTCATAAAAAGATAATCACCTATGTTATATACATCATGAAGTTCTTGTCATGAAATATGTTCGCAATGGTGCTTCATATTTTAAAAAATATTAACTCTACTGTTTCATATGCGTATGAACAGCATATGATTTTAAATTAGATATTTTTTGCTAGAGGAAAGCGTTGACAAGAAAATGTATGCTTTAAACAACAATAATATAGGGACACAAATAGAATATATAGTTGTTAGTGAGAACAGAACAGAATATATAGTTGTCAGTCAGAATAGAATAAAATATATAGTTGTTAGTGAGAACAGAATAGAATATATAGTTATTGGTGAGAACAGGACAGAATATATAGTTAGTGAGAACAGAATAAAATATATAGTTATTGGTGAGAACAGAATAGAATATATATAGTTATTAGTGAGAACAGAATAGAATATATAGTTATTAGTGATAACAGAATAGAATATATAGTTATTAGTGAGAACAGGACAGAATATATAGTTAGTGAGAATAGAATAAAATATATAGTTGTTAGTGAGAACAGAAGGGGTCTATATAGTTGTTAGTGAGAACAGAATAGAATATAGGGGTCTATATAGTTGTTAGTGAGAACAGAATAGAATATATATAGTTATTAGTGAGAATAGAATAGAATATATAGTTATTAGTGATAACAGAATAGAATATATAGTTATTAGTGAGAACAGGACAGAATATATAGTTAGTGAGAATAGAATAAAATATATAGTTGTTAGTGAGAACAGAATAGAATATATAGTTGTTAGTGAGAACAGAATAGAATATAGGGGTCTATATAGTTGTTAGTGAGAACAGAATAGAATATATATAGTTATTAGTGAGAATAGAATAGAATATATATAGTTATTAGTGAGAACAGAATAGAATATATAGTTATTAGTGAGAACAGAATAGAATATATAGTTATTAGTGAGAATAGAATAGAATATATATAGTTATTAGTGAGAACAGAATAGAATATATAGTTATTAGTGATAACAGAATAGAATATATAGTTATTAGTGAGAACAGGACAGAATATATAGTTAGTGAGAATAGAATAAAATATATAGTTGTTAGTGAGAACAGAATAGAATATATAGTTGTTAGTGAGAACAGAATAGAATATAGGGGTCTATATAGTTGTTAGTGAGAACAGAATAGAATAAATAGTTGTTAGTGAGAACAGAATAGAATATATAGTTGTTAGTGAGAACAGAATAGAATATAGGGGTCTATAGTTGTTAGTGAGAACAGAATAGAATAAATAAGTATTAGTGAGAACAGAATAGAATTAGTGAAAAATGTTCGTGAGTTTGGCCTTCATTTAGTATAAATGGTCAGTTTTATTTATACAGCTATACTAACTGTTCATTGAACTCTACAAATTGTTGGGAGTCGCCATTTTGAACTTGGCAAAGAAAGAAGGATAATGAAGTCATTCACTGCGTCCACCGTTTTACCTTCTTCAATCGCTAAAGCTGTTATAGCTATTTTCATCCAGTGCATGATCAACTTCTTTATTAGCAAATACTAATAGAGCATTAATGACTGGATGAACAGGAGTGACTCGTTAATATGGATCCCGCTTGCATCAATGCTGCTCGAAATAGCGGAAAAGTGTTTTAGGAATGCGGGTTAAAATGTTGTGATACCTATTTTTCATATTTATGTCAGGCTCTAAAGTTGCCATGGCAGCATAGCTGATGATGCTTTAGATATATATTTATATCATATTTAAATTTAAAGAAAGAGACAACAGTTTATTAGGATGTTCAGCTTTTGACTTGTCTATGAAACACGGAGCGGACAGTGGTGAAATTCAATGGGATTTTTAATAACATTACCCAAAATATCGCTTTCCTGAAATTAATACCTGCTAGTAATTACATTTACTGACCCCCAAAATGATAAAATTTTCTGTTAAGTATGAAATATTAGAATGGTTTCCGATTGTTTATCAGTGTGTAATGGACACCCTATTGTGTTATATGACAATCATCCCGACATCGCATCCACCTCTGGGTATCTATCTTTTAGGTTAAAGGTCAAATAACTAGATTTTGGTGATAAATTTGAGCATATCAGCTAAATTAAAGATTATTGGTCTATTAATATATTTATATTACAGTGCAAAATTCACGTTTGAATTAGTAACCTTGGTCTTTTTTTCGTAGACCGTGGGCCTATTGAATTAGATTGGCACTTTTTTACAACATCATCTATCCTTTTGGAAGAATCTAGGCCTAAATGAAGCCTAACAATGTTACGACGTTTTTCCATTACGATTTTTAACCTTTATAGATTAAATGAAAACCTATTCAAATCGAAAGTCATCACAATAAAACAATCAAACTTATTTAGAGCATGTAGTGATAAAATATTAACAAATTAACCAATCAAAAAGCAGGGGTCAAAACACGTATTTGATTGGCTGGTAATCTCTTGATTTTTAGATGGCGAATACAATCGACCAATCAAGAGCTTTGTTACAAAATCTTCGTTACTGATTGGTTCAAATTGTTCTAGGCCTATGCATATTTGTAAAATTTGTTTTTAACGAAATTGATTAATATACAACTATGATTTGTTTGTTTTTATTGAAATAATAAAGTACCTTGCGTCTATTTTGATGTGATATATCAAACTGTATATCAGAATTTGATATTAAGGCTTTATTTCAAATGATGCGGATACTGCTCTGATTGGCCTAGCGAGACGATCATTTCATTTGTTGGCTTTTAATTATCGAAATTTTAAAAACTTTTGTTTACTTTTTGATATTTAGTTAAAAACTCTGTCCCATTAACATTTATTTGATGCTGGGATTATTTAGATTTCCAATTATTGTCTTTAAAAGACAGTTGTCAATTGAATGATATGATAATGTTATGCTGCAGGGGCGGGGATCATTTTTCTATTATCATTTTGTCTGAAAATAATACCGTGTTTGACAGCGATTCCAGTTCTAAAACTTTTTAGGCGTTAGGCCTGGAATTGAAGCCTAATATTGTACTTAATAGTGTGATAAGGCAGTTTCATTTTTGCCTGGTATTGTGAGTTTTTCTGATTACTTTCTTTCAAAGAATGCCACCAACACCGTTTACTTTGTTGTTTGTTTTTTTTTTTTAAATTTTAAGAAGGTGTGCTGGTTTAATTTTTACTTATTTGTTGGTGAGATATACAAATGTATAATAGTCTTAACGCTTTATATTTTGAAAAAAAGCCACATGATAATAAAATGAGGAATAGCTATGAAGATAGTTATGGTCGACCGTCACGTCACGACGTAGGTCGGCTGTAAGGCTTTCGCCCATTGGTCGTTGCTCTTATCCTTTTGAACCAATAAAATGATCTGTTGACAAAAGTGCTTCACACGAAATAAATAAAAACAAACATATATTTATTATGCTTTAAGTTTTTAAAAGGAGTAAGAATTCGAAATTTTGGGGTTCATTTCTGATATATCAATAAACACAATGTCTATTCAATGTGCTATGATATAAAAACAGTTAAATCAAAAATAAACACAAGTAATTCTAACCATTTATTTTTGGCATTTCCTTTGATGTGAATGATATTTTATTTTATGATCGAGTTAAAATAATTCAATAAAATTGTTAGCTGTTGTTATTTTTCTTTCTTCGGTCAATATAGAGATAAAGTGTTTGTTTATAATTTTTTCCAATTTCAGTTATTAAATACCATTTACTTTTCCTTTGTGCTTTATCTATAGTTAAACAAATGGTGATAAAAAGCCAATATACACACTAATTTGATAAAAACGTCTAGCACGTATACACAATAACAAAGGATTTTCTATGTAATGTAACGTGTGACCCCCTTTTTAATGGAAAAGGCATGTTCGATTTCAGACTATAGTTTATGAATACGAGATACATCGAACCTTTATCCATGTGTGACTTTTCTAACATTTAAATTTATGTATAGTGAACACACAATATCATTGGAGATACCCACATAGTGTGTGATACGTCGTGTAACTTAACACAATTTCTTATGTAGAAAAGAGTGAAAGTCATCCGTCATTTTGTCAAATTCTAATTACAAATTGTGTGATTGCATAATTGTTTTAATTCTGTGTCAACTAGATATTTTGACACACATCTCTTGTCAATGATGAATGACATTTAACTTATTCAACGTCCTACTCCCATTTGTAACATTATGTAAATTGTATATATATCATCTGTGAAGATGGCTAACTTGACAAATCTCCTACATTTGAATATTAAAGATTTGGTCTGTTAGGTACAATAATTAAATCTTACAGTCTTTATCAAAGACAATAATGTCAAGAATTCATATTACCCGGAAATTACATCGTTTTTGACCGCTTTGTTATTATTGGTATGTTTTTACTATTTTCAAACCGTAGTAAATCAAGTTTGATCTACAGAATTATACCTGGTAGGCCCAACTAGGTATAATATTAGCCAATATGTAACCCAGTTTCGCTGTATGATATTTATACATTCTCCACAATTATCAAACTGTTAATTCATAGATAGTATCTTGTTTGAATCATATTTACGCAAGTTGTATATGAAAATTCCCCTGGATTATGGAAATTTAATAAAAAAAAAAAGTTACAGATGATTTATAGATGTTCCAAATTAGGGATTAATTTCAATCTAATAGATTTATTTTTCTTGTTTATAACTGTAAGTTAATAAATCAGATTCATTATTATCGGTTATATCTCGTCAGTTTTACAGATTTATGATAAGTGTATGAAGACAATAGTATGGATATTGTGATGTAAACAGGAGATTATAGTGTTAGATCTAACTATAGAACTTGTTATAATCTATTGTTCTAATAATATCGTTAATCTCTACCATCTTTTTTATCCCTGAAGACACTAAACTGCCAGAATCAGTAAATAATGACACAGAAAATGTCAGCTTAATTGTGATAATTTTGAATCTGTTTGATCTTTGTTCTAGGATATAGTAACGATCGTAGGCCTATCTATAAATTTTAAAAGAACAGACTCATTTTGAACTAAAATGTTTCACTATAAACAATTATTTGGGTATGAAAGTGCGAAAGTCCCCTGACATGATCCGATGTGAATTTATTTAAAAACAGAAAGGCTCTAAACGACTAAAGAATGGGACGTCGACAAGGAACGATAACTCTGTTTAAAAGGGGCGTGACTACCGCGTGTTTGTGTGATACTGAATAATTTTATATGTGACCATCTTAATATGTATTTGACAGAAACGAAATTTCTTAATGTAAAAGAGTGTTTTGTGTATAGATTTTTAAATCTTGTAGTAACTATTCTTGTCTCTCTTCAATCCACAGTAAAATGTTTAAAACCATATAGAACAGTACTTTCTTGATACTTGTAAATATATATTTCATAATAAATATTCTTAACATATTGAAAGTATTTATTAATTTAAGCAATCGAAATGTTAATAGCTATTCTACTAATATGAAAGTGTAAGTCAAAATATGATTCCTTTTGGAAAGGGCTCTCTGATTATGTACGATAAATGAAATAATGTTTTTGAACTCTGTACAGTTCTGTGGATTAACCAACAGACAGATGTTTGCTAAATAATGTTCTCTTTAATGATAAATTCACATTGTTATCAGGTCTAGAGATACCAAAGTGACTAAATTAGGGTGGAAATATGAATTTATCTGAAATTTTTACTTCTGTGGGTTCTGACTTTGATACATTTTACATTAAGGCTATGGTTTATCAGTCTAGAGAAAACAAAAAGACTATGGAAATAATGAATGTATCTGGAATTTTTACATGTATTTGAACTTCTGTTGTTTTTTTTATTCTTGTAGAGCCTGACTTTGCTTGATGGGCGTGTCAAATAGAAGTAAGATGAAGAGGGCAGTTGCTGACCATATAACATGATATATTGTACTAATGGTAAGGAATGTTATATTTTTTATAAAAATGTACTCCTGACTCTCACAAACATGTCACTTTTATAATAGATAAATAGTTAATGTCACACGTCAACATTGGTTATCTCAGCTTTTTGGTAGAAAAGAAACACCGTCACCTGCTTGTAATATACTTCAATTTGCTTCACTATTGAAATATACATATTACTCAAATAGAATATAGAAATTTGGAGATTTACTTAAATTCACAACTGCATTAAGGAGGGAACTGATCATGGTGAACAAATATTACCATTTAGAATATGATAGCTTTAACTAAAGGATTGATTCGTCTTATTTTTCTATACGATCCATTTAGCAATAACATAGAAGTATATGTTTTCTATTCAACCATAGTAATATAATGTTCACTTGTTGTGCCCTGCTATGCTACACCTCCGTGATGTATGGGCGAAACAAGAGGGGGGCTATGTCTAACACAAAAACATTCTCCGCCTAACAATGGTCCATGACCAACCCTCTTTTATCAATGTTGGCCTCGAGCGTTGGCCAAACCAGGTAACATGACAGGATCGACCCTCTCATGAATAATCTCAAATCACTCGAGTGAGACGAAACTTAAATATAAATAGGTCAACTGTTCAACCTAATGGCGACCGTGGATAAAAGGTGAAACGCCATTGGTTGGGTTAATGTGAATTTCCCAGCATGCAAGCTATTACTTATATTAGACATAGAGAGTAATTGTATTTTACTTACTCACTAATGCGATATCTATTGAAAACTATCATCACTTTTTATCAAAATCTCGACCAATTTAAAGATAAAAATAGCCTGACCAAAATTATTTTGACAAATATGTATGTCATATAAATAAAGATCAAATAGACAAAAAATAGTAGAAACTGGAGGGAGGGAAATGTACTGGACAACCTCCAAGTTAACGATTTTAGACATGCTAATTCTACATGTTTTAGAAAAGATTAAAAAAAACAATTGAAATGATTCAGATCATTCTTGTCTTACTTTGCTCACCTCGGGTTATAAAATATTTAAATCAATCAAAGTAAAAGACAGCCTTCGTTTTATCAGCGAAAAAATACCTCGTGTTGAGCTAATAATTTCAACAAACAAATGTGATATTCATGAATCGTGTTACATACTTTATATTAAGGAATATAAATCTATATGATTTTATTGATTATTGTCAACTGCATTTAATAACTTGCTAAATCTCGTTAAGATTCCATATGCACACGTGTTACTGAATTGAATCCAAATAAATTGTAAATTTCATACTGACGATAACAGATTTTCTATTCCATTTACACAGATAAATAAATAGCTGATGTACAATTGATATATCAGATAAGTAATAACTGCATATATTCATTCATATTTTCAATAAAATCTCTAATTAGATCAGCCATTTGCAGAGATTTCGTTGCTGAAATAAGCCACGTGACATTGTTTGTGAATAAAAGGGTTTTCTCATAATTGGATTTATTTACTTTCAAATCAGACAATGATTTATTTTTAATATTACAATATTCAAGGCTAAACATTTATGGTTAATTTGGATAAAGTAATATTAATAAGACTTAAATTTTTGATCATGTTTTCGTTGAATATAATACATGTAGATTAAGGATATTTGTGTTCATGGATATTGAAATATTGTTTATGTAAATAATAAATAATCACTTTGTCCCATCTATTTATTAGAGATTTGTTAATCCGTATCCCCAACATAGTAAAACTTTATATTAGCAAACGTTTTTGACAATCAATGTTGAAAATGTATGATCATTTGCATGGATTTCGTTATGGGGAAATAAGACAGTGCATTAATTGTCTTCTGGCTTAGTGTGTTATTGTTCATAATGCTCAGTATTTTTACCGTTAATAAAATAATGGAAAGTGCTTTTGCTTGACAGGTTCTTAGAACTTAAGTGGCGTGAGTATTTTGTGCAATAAAAGTTGAAATTGTATTGCAAAGTTCATAGATTTCGATAACGGTAAAAATCATCCACATTGATATCATTATGGTGTATACATATATACAGGGTTTTATCCCTGAAACCAGTTTGTATATTGTTAATAGATTAAAGAAACGGAAACACAGATAATAATCATTTCGTTAATTATATTTCTGACAAAATAAAATCTCCGTTTGACTGCAGGCTAAACATTGTTAATTTATTATATTTGTCAGATGATTATACATTTTAAAACTTTTTAAAACTTCTATTATTAGAGTTTGTAAAAACCCAGCATACATCTGATTTTGAAAAGGGTGGTGGAGGAGGAGACGATTTAATGAATCATGTTGAAAATTAATCTAATTTGTGGGTTAATGTGAATTTCCCAGCATGCAAGCTATTACTTACATTATGGAGCACATTATAATAAAATAAATATAATAGACACTGCATATATCTGCACCATCATATTCTTGTCATATATTATGACATACTGACATCAATACCTGTCAGCAAACAGTGACAGTGTCAAATACAAACCATAAATACATATTTATTATTTTTAAATAAACGATCAAAACTTAAGTGCTGTGAAGATAAAATATAAAAAATCAATTGAATAAAGATCATGATCTCATTGTACCTGCCATCTTGACCTAGTTGTCAAAAACGTCTAACGGTATTTTACATATTTAACATCTAAGTATGAAAGGAAAGTCGGGTGTAGATTTCACCGGGTCGTGGGTGTTCATAATACATTGAATAATATAGCGTATAGGATTAATAATTTCTAAGGCATATTCCTCTCTATATAAGACTGGCCTGTAGAGATAATATTTCAAAGTCGTCGTATATTTACATAGGCAGTAATCTAGTGTTTGTTAAGTAGATGGTATGAAAGCAACCCACTATTCTTAAAGCCCCTCCAAAAGAGTCGTACAAGCAGTTACACTAATATTTGTTAACATGAAAGCTAATTTATTTTCATATATCATTGAGAGAAATTCATGTTTAGGATTCAGAAGTACCCATACTGCACAAAACGTCTGTTCAAACAGACATTAAGGCAGCTGTAGAAATGAGTTACCTCCCTTTATACTGAACTCAGGATCTTTACACGTTGCCGTTTGATACAGCTTCCTTCACTAAACGGGTCCACACATGGGAAATAATTCCAGTGATACGTAATCAGTTTACAGAAGGTCGGTTGTATCGAATGTATATGTAATAACTCTTATACATAATTCAATTGTCATAATATAAACAAAATTACGATGACTTAAACTAATTAACTATTAGACTATTTCAAAGAAAATGCCTGTCAAAGACACGTAAACACATTATAATTTGTTGCCAACATAACAAGTTGTTTAGGGACATGTCATCCGAATAAATGTCTAAATAATAATTTATTTAACATTTGAAACTAGAAAAAAAGACCTACAATAAGCAGATTTAGCTCTTTACATCATGGATCGTTAACTTAATTTTGTACAAATCTTATAAGTCTGAACAATAAGAAATATTTAGCATGCTTGGTGTAATGTTTAATTGTTTACTTTCCAATATTTATATCAGGCAATGTTTAGCCTACTTTAACTGCTATAATGTATGATGATCTAGCACAGTCTGATTAAAACACAGATCCTGTTTTGTTATTTTATAGTTCTAAGTCAGTTTTAATTAACTTCCCGAACGTAGAACCTTGAAGGATTTTTAAATAGACCGCATTCTCTTTGATATAAGAGATTAGCCAATGAATTGGCTCGTTTTTTATTCAAGCTTTGTGCTAGGTGTGCATTGGGTTATAGGAGACATTTATAGGGCAAAACAAGGGTTAAATATAATTATTTTACGTCATTCGTCCAAAGTTCACACGTGATCCCTGACGTTAGATGGTCAGATCCATATGGAGGCCATGGGAAATAAAACGAAACGATCTGTATTTCAAACATATTGGATCGACTATTTAAAAATCCATTTGATACAATCTCTATTTGCAAACTTCCTGTAATGTATATTGGTCAATAATTTAACACAGGCATTGACGACTCGTTGATCACGATTGTCAAATGTTGGCAATGAATTCTGTATAACGTCATGATTTACATAATGTAGGCCTATATTGGTCATGATTGACAAAATGTATATTGGTCATGATTGACAAAATGTCTATTGATCATGATTCTATTGGTCATGATCGACGAAATGTATATCGATAAAGATTGACAAAATTACGTTGGTCATGATTGACCAAATTTGTGCTGGTCATGATTGACCAAATTTGTGCTGGTCGTGATTGCTTAAAAGTAGATTGGTCACGATTGCTATAATGTAGATTGGTCATGATTGTTATAATGAATATTGGTCATGATTTCTATCGTGTATATCAATCATGATGATTGCTGTAATTTCTATGTTCTATAAAGATAATATCGTTGAATGGATACCACTACTTATCTTACGAATCGTACCTTTTCAAAATACTTGTGTCATCTATTTTGTTATTCTAAAATACCCTTTCGTTTTCTTTCTCAACACACTCACGTTGATTTAGTAATACTAGATATTTATTCAAAAGAAAAGCTCAACCAGAAACATTTATCAAGTCTATAAATTCCTTTAAAACTAAAACCTCAAAATTGAATTGCATTTTGTATACTCTCGAAATCCCAAAATAAAGTTTCGTTTTACATTTGTGAAAAATAATGACTTCTATTATTCTCACACTTTTCATGGATTAGAAATATTTTTAAACTGTTAATCGAGTATGCCAGTGTCATTAAAATCAAACACATACAAATTTTTACCACAAATATTTATGATGTGATAAACCCCATTTATCCACAAATAGCCCAGAATTTTACAATATATTTGTTTATTGAATGAATGCTTAGAGTTACTTGTCTTCGAGTAGGAATTAATTTTTAATTCATGTTCACAGAGAAAAAAACCTGCGTCCACACTGCATGCACATTCAATGCGAAGTCTGGAGACCGGCCTCCGGAATTCAGATTGGTTTGTCTCGGTTAAAAGTTGT